AATAGAGAATCTATCAAGGAAAAATTCACCCTTTTTAATCCTTTCCCCAGAATCTCCTTTGAAAACAATCTTGTATAGGCAATTTTGGTTGGTTTCATTCCATTGAAGTAATCTAGTTGAAATCTGAAGTAATTACAAGGATTTCAATCTAGTTCAGAAGAAAAAGTGAAACCAGTAAAGAATATCAATCTTGAGTGGGAGATGAAGCGATACGTTTTTAGGTGAAAACCAATTCTAAAATATTTACCTATTTTTTTCTTTTTGCGGATAAATATCATTACAAGCTGATGATCTTGTAATTTAACTAACTATTCTTGAAAAGAGGAACAACCACTTCAATCCATTCATAAACATTTTTATCATCTTCAGATTTGAGAGATTTTTGTTTAAAATCAGTTTTACAAAATTTAATCCATGACTTTTCCTTTTGATCTTGGAATTGATTTTGCTTTAGACCAAGGAGAGAATTCATGAACATTTGCTTTTCCAAAAGTATTCTTGCATTGGTTAACTGATAAGAATGGTCACAAATATCTAGGATTGTACCAATATCATAATTCCTAATGAAATATACCATGTAGTATGAGATTGTAATCTGAAATATCTGGATTTTCTTTTCAGGGCCCTGTTGAACCTTCTTCAATTTCCTTTGAGTTCCAAACAAGTAAGCAGCCGAACGTATAGCACCCTTGAACTTTTGATCTATGATCTTATCAATGTTTTCTTTTGGCTCAAGCTCTAAAGTGCCTTCATTCTTGATGAAGTTGGCACTCAAAAAATCTTTGCAGTCAACATTAAGTATGGGATTATTGTCCAATCCACGTGGAAGTAGCAATTCATAGTTCTTGAGTATGCTTCTCAAGAGAGTGTATTCAAGGAATCTCTTTTGTTCATCCTGAAGTTCTGGATTGAAGCAAACAATAATTTGATAATCATCATTACATGGTGTTATATGAATTGAAAAAAATACACAGGAAGTCAGGTTTGTATAGCATAAGCTGGTAATAGACCTATGATGATTGATGTTAGAGATTAAGTCCCAAAGCTTACTTGATATTCATCTGTGGAAGTGTCTCAAAGAAGAGTTAGACATTAGGAGTTCCTTCTGAGGGTTCACCCACTCAAGGCTTCCAAATAAGTTTTCACCCTTGCTGGTGATCAAGAGATCAACATGGAATTTGACCATCTTGATGATAGTTTCTTGCTTGAAGATATCAATGTTTCCCATCATCTCTTCTGTCAAAAACTGGTTTGTGTAGATGTAATCAGCCAGGAGGAACAATGATTCCAAATAATTCAACTTGATCTCTGCATCATCTTCTGTTTTGCATTTGTGGTGAATGAACTCTGCTTGGAGATGTTCCCAGATGGGAACCACTTCAGATTTGATAATCTCTTTCAAATTCTGATTTCTTGCAGTTGATTTGAGACTCTTTATTTCCAACTTTCCAAATATTTTGCTTTTGAGGGATTGGGAAGGATTTTGAAAAATAGGTTGAACCAGGCTCTGAGGCATTGTCCCCATGATGTTCAAAGATCCACTTTGTTCAATTGGTGAATTTAGATAATTGTGCAACTGCTCTAGATGATTAACAACATCATTCAATTCCTCCATGTTATGCTGCTTGAGCTGTTTGATCTGTTGTTGAATTTTCTGGTAGTTTGACTGATTAATCATGTCTGTGTGTATTCAGAACAAAATCAATTCTGGGGTTGAGTTAGAAGAGAATCATAGAGAAAGAAGTGAGAAAAAAGATTGACCTTTTTCTGAAAGTAGCCCTACATGACTGCTTTCCTGCTCAGTTACATAGTGGTCCTGCTCAAAATGTGCTAGGGTTGATAAGTCTTTTTCACTGAAATGATTTGTTGATTTGTGTTCCATCAAGGGTGGTGGCACCACTGCCATCAAAATGTAAACATGTTGAGTGGGGATATTGCAAAATGTAAGTCAAGAATTTCAATAAAATTTTCAAATCCCAACAGAAAAAAAGAATTTAAATCATACAGTAATTTCCTGCAGCTTTCCCAAAATTGTGAGTGTGCATTGCACTCAATAGTGAGAGCTGACTTCCTCCTAATGGACCAAGAGCAAATAATAAGACTGGGATCTTGAGTGAAGGCATGAAGATCTGGATTTGACTTGGATTGGATATCAATCTGGGGCAAAGAACTTGATTCAGACTTTTGCTCACTCACAACAATGCTGAAACTGAGAAAACACAAGATGGTATCAGGTGTTTATTTGTATGATCTCAGAATTTGAATACCCAAAAATACCAATCCTGGTGTTGTCTCACTTTCCTCAGACAATACACATATATTGTCTTTGGAAAGTGAGACAAATATTGTGCATTGTCTCAGAGGGCTGATCCCAGCAACAATGTCTTCAATACAAAATATATTTGGCTGTATCAATGGAAAAAAGAGAACTTTTTTGGCATGTGTAAAGCCACTGAATCCAAGACAGTGGATTGCCTCACCAACCAAGGAAATAATGATACCAGGTATCAGTCTCAAAACAGGGACAATACATGCCAATACCAAATACATGTCTTGTCTCAGTTTCAGTGTTGCTCACAAACATACTGTCCATTTCTGACCCTGTTGCATCTGCCTGTCATCCCCTTCACCTGGCTACCACCAATGGTAAGATTGACTCTGTGAGATTGTGAGACAGTACAATTGGATAAATTCAGTATCTTTGTCACATCAGCCAATTTTTATTTAAAATATACAGTATGTACTCATACAATATACTGGGCTGTATGTGTCTTACATGATTGTAAAATTCAAAAATTCAAACTTACCACAGTTTATTGCAGAGAAAGGTCAAGGGGGTGGGGGTCATGGTCAATACAATCATAGATCTCTGCGGGAATGGTTGTTACTTTTTGATCAGCAGAACAAATTAAAACAAACAGAAAAAAACAAATCATTGTTTCATCAACACTACAAACATCAATCCCTATTTTGTCCCAAGGAAAATAGAACTTTGGCTGGTGGAAAATTATAGCTTAATTTCCTGGTGCTTTGATTTACATGACAATGTCTCAAGAGTTGAAAGAAAAGGCTAAAAAAATGAGCCATTTCAGTCAAAAAAAAAGTCTTAAATCATGTGCTGGAAAAGAAAAAGAATCATTTTTCAAATGTTTGAGGTGTTTTGATTTTGGGGCTCAGATGAGCCAATTTTGAACCAGATTTCAACTCCTGACAACACTGGGAGGTTACGTTTTCAGTAACGAAAAATAACAAAAACGTAACGGAATTGTGGCCGTTAGCGTTGCAATAACCGCAAAGGCCTTTCCGTTACGTTTTCTTTTTCCTTTTTTCCGCTTTTTTTATTGCTTTTACGCTATCCACCACAATTAAGTGTGGATAACAAACACATAACGAGGGGGTTTACCCTCACACAACGTGGATAACGTGCTGTTTGCGTTGTTTTCTTCCGTAACGAGGGGTAAAATCCCTCTAGTTACGTTACTCACCGGTCAAAAAAGATTGCATTCTGGATAACGCTAATGTTGTTATCCAATGCGCTGGGAAGTTACGTTACGAAAATCCCTCCAGATATCGTAACGTATGTAACTTCCCAGTGTTGCTCCTGAGACAGCTCCTATAAACCAATCCACCAGGAAATGATTGTCCTGTTTTCCACCACCCATTATATCACTATTTATCTTTGGGCCAAAAATTCACTTAAGGTTTTGTTTGTGTACTACGGTGCATTAACTGTGTATTAAAAAAAAATAAGAACAAGTACAATTTGACTTGGATGAAAGTCTGACATCTGTTGGCCAGACAATTGGGAACATCAAACATATAGGAAAAAAAAAACAATTCTCATCTTCATTATGGGGTCACCAGTACAGGGGACAGACCAGTGCAGACCCCACAATGAGTTCCCATAACTGATCAATTTTCCCACCCCTTTCATGAATACATAATCATGGGCTCTGAGTCACACCACCCCCTCTCCCCCCTGACCAAGAAATATCTTATATATATATACCTACACAGTCCAGTTATCTAATATATGATTTCACCCAATATATGTGTATACTCCTCCAAGATTTCTTTGCCTTACAAGTTTCTGGATTATTCTTTGCGCACCGGGTTTGAGGGTTGTACTGTAGACCAAATACCTAATCGAGATCTTTGCAGCACTTGACTGCACACAGCGGTGGGCCGGCACGCTTTTGGCCCAAAAAGCTTATCATAGCGGCACCTTTTTTTTGCGCCAAAATTTTGGAGTGTTAGCGGGTTTTTGCACTACAGCCCGCTCACAGCACTGCAGGGCCAAAAAAACTGCTAACCAGCTTGTTATAAGCGTAGCGGAGTGGGTCCTTTTTGTGGGGCCTGTGTGCAGATGTGCCGGAATTCTGCTACGCTATGCTAGAGTTTAGCAGAATTCCACTACGGTTAGCGTAACTGGCCCACCATTGCTGCACAGTCAGACCCATCCATCCATATTTAATTAGGGCAAGGTGCCAAGTTCATAGTTGAAAAGATTACTAAATTTGCACAAGTATCGATGAGAAAAAAAAGAGTGCTGTTTTTTTTGTTTGAGTATGGAGGGGATGATGGGCCTGTCAGATTGTCACAGGATAGTGGATGTGGAGTGGAGTGAATGTATATTAACCTCTGATGGATTGTATCTCATTGAGGGAGATAATATCCTTTCTTGGCAGGAGTGTCTGGACCACTGTTTCACAGGATCAAGGAGAGTCAGAGATGCACAAAAGAAGCCACATTATGTTTTCAGGGGGGTTTCTTTTGGGGAAAAAAAAAAAAGAGAGAGATGATATGTGTAGAAAGAAGACGTAGTTTAAGAGAAATGAATGGAGGCTTCTGAACGACGGGAACTAGAGTAACATCACAACAACAAGGATACACAAGGGACAGAGAGAGAGAAAGAGGGGGTAACGATTCCGCACCCAAATAAGACTGAGGTAAGGAAGATAGCACAAAAAAAAGAGAGGGGAAAGGTTAATGATTCGAAGGGGGACGATGGTTGGTGATATGGTGATGATCGAATTGGAGATGATCAGAGTCCAAGCCCAGGGGTGCAGCCAGAGAACCTGATCTACCGCTGAACCTGCGCATCTTGCCCAAGGCTTTAGCGGACGGCTCGACGGGGGTGACGATCGAGTCGTCATGAGAGGAGTCGAGAGGATTAGAGGGCGGGGGACGGGATGACAAGGGCGGGAGTTTGGGGGCTGAGGGACGGGACGGAGCAGCGGAGGAGGAGGAGACGTAGAACTCGTCGTCTGTTGAGGGGTCATGGTCCGGGACGATGTAGCCTTTGCTGGGCGGGCTGGGGTCCCGAGGGGGATGGGAGACGGGGCGGGGTTCTGGGGCGGCGGATAGGTTGAGACTGGGGGAGTGGGAGTGGCTGGAGGAGGAGGAGGAGCCGCCGGCGACGGGGCCGTCGCCGGTCTGGAGCAAGTCCGTCGGCCGCAGACTGCCCCGGACCTCGGTCCGGGAACGTTCCTTGGCCTCGACCAGCTCCCGCTCGGCCCGTGCCAGCCGCTCTAGCTCGTCGTACTGTCGGAACGCATCCACTAGCTCGCTGTTCGCCGATAGCAACAGCGACAAGAGCTGCTCCTCCCGCGAAGCCCCTCGGTCCCCATTGGCCACCCCCTCGTTGGTATACGGATTCGTCCGGGACACCCTCCTCGGCGGTTCCGGGCCTGCGTCGCTCGCCCTTGCGCTGCTGCTGCTGCCGCTTGCTGTTCATAGTATACTCGGGCATGCTCGGCTTGTTCGGTCGCCCAGGGAATGTCATCCATGAGTTGGTTTTGACTCTGCAGACATTTAGTGTGGAATTCCTATCGTAGAAATCAAACCGGTCAGAAGGGTTGAGGATGAGTAAAAGAAAGTGAATGGCTGACCTGGATGATTTCGTTGGTTTCCATTTCAGCTGGTTGGGTAAATGCCAGTGCCTCGACCAACAGTCTCGCATTACACCTCGCAATCTCAGCCTCTTCCCGGACGTCGCGCATGACGGGGATTGGCGCGGGCAAGCCGTCCTGGGTGGACTGGGGTGGGTATACTGCCATCGGTTGCTGTTGCTGCTGCTGTTGCTGTTGTTGTTGATGTGCTTGGCCTGGTGAGACTGAGGTCGGATTCACTGGGATCGGCGCAAACATCCCATCCGATTCGTCCAGGGGAATCCCACTAATTATTATAGGTTGAGTCAGTCAGATGGCTTCTGTGTGATATCTTAGTGGTAGACTTACTTCAAGGGTGCATCACTGGGCTTAATCTTATTATAATGATTGGTAAATGCGCTCAAATCTTCGTCATGCTACAATTGTTTTTTTGAAGAAGGTCAGAGTACAATTCTGTTTTTTTTTATTGAGAAAGAGATAGACTTTGTTTGTTTACCCGAAATTCGTAGCCAAGAACGGCGAGTGCTTTGAGGATGATCTCCTTGACGGGCTGTTTGCGGAGACTCTTTGCAGATTTGTGGTAGAGCTCTTCGAGTACGTCGAGTAATTTCTTGACGACGAGGACTGTGATAGATCAGATGAGTTAGTCTCTCAGTATTCTTCAATCTGCAGTGTTATATAAGGGGGTTGAGAACTGACGTCTGAATCTGTCTGATGAGTGTAAGACGAGGATGACGGTGAGCTGAAAAGAGGGAGAGAATGTTGAGTTAGAAGTGTGTGTGAGTGTTTGCTGATGGATGAGGACTGACTCTGATGGCTCTGATCTGGATGGGTTGGTTTGAGGATAGTTTGATGTTCTTCTTGAGTGATTTGATTGACCGCGCCTGGAGTCCGGTTCGCTCTTTGATAGCCTGTCTTATATTCGAAGATGTGGCAGTTTGCGATGTGTTGTTCGGTTGGCAGGCCAGTTGATGGTCTGTTCGACGATGAAGGGTGGGATGATGATGATATGAGTGTAGGGTCTGCTGGTGGTTTGATGGTTGATGGAATTAGTCTGGATAGGAATCCATGTTTCTTGTTAGGGTTGTGCTGTTGTTGTGAGTTGATATCATTCTTTGAGAGTAGGCTGAGTTTGAGTGTATCCGCTCGGTGGTGATGGTGGTTGTTGGCTGGTGTTTCGTTTGTTGGGGTTGAGGTTGCTGATCAGATTTCTCATCTTCTTGTCTTGGCTTGTTGCTGTGAAGAAGTACTGGGCCTGGTTGGAAGAAAATTATTTCCAGGGGGGAGATCAGGGCTGTCCAACACTGCCAAGAACCTGAACAGACCTGAATAGCCTACACCCAACAAACCTTAAATTGATGATGGCTGTACAACTCTTGGACCCTCCGAGCCCATGAGTGTCAGACAGCTTGGCATCCTCACAGAGAAAGAGAAGCTGGATCGATGCTTCACCAACTTCAGAACCATGCTGTTGCAGTGATCTAATCATTCCCATCACCAAAAAAAACCCAAAATATGAAAAAAAAAAAAATGGAAAACAGTAGAATAAATAGATGCTAAAAGGTAAATAAAGGATTGAAGAGAAATACATTCTAGAAACACAACTCTCTTCCTCATCTTAAATAGGGGGGTTCACAATAGAAATTCATGAAGTTTTTATTGCCAGTTTTAAGGTCATTACCAACAAAATTTTAAAGTTTTGACAACATGTGCAGATTTTGGGGTTTCTGAACAATCAGAACAACTTTTTCACTTTTCAAAAAGTGGTTGACAAACACCATAAAATGGGCTTTAAAGATTTCTTAAATTTCTATTGTGAACCCCCCCTAATAATGGATCTTTGCAGGGTTGACTTGAATATGTATCATAACGAGTTCCAAAGAAGAAATTGATTATAAGTAGATTCATCAAAGTTCAGTTTCATGTAATCATCTTGAGCTTCTCCCAAGTACAGCTAATGTTTTCTGATGATACAAAGAGAGAGAGAGTGCGATTAGTCACCCATTAAGCTAGCACAAAAGCATTGATCAACAACCAGGGAACTCTCGTACAAAACCAACGGCAGCCATCCCCCCATTGTGCCCAAAACACCCAAGCAAGCACACAACAAGAGCAAGCTCCAGCCACAGGAAGTCAGTCCACAACAAGTGGCAGGCTCGTCAGAGTGACTCAGTTGGTGGGCATTAGTTCTGTGGAAGTTTTGGGTTGGTTGATGGACTTGGATTGATGAATTAATGGAAACACTTTTTGGATCCACTCCTCCAGTGGCCGGAAACACTGGGCTTCGACAGGTCGGACACTTGGGGACCCTTTGGACCCATCGTCTCACACAAGGATCGTGGAAATAATGGAAGCAGGGCAGATAAACCATGGTCTCTATCGGGCTAACTTCCATGCAACAATTGCACATTCTTCACTG